AAGCAGAATACCGTGGCTAGAACCCGTGCGCGAAAGCTGTATGACAACCTGCTGACCAAAATTTTACAATTCGCACGTAAATATATAATCTGGCAGGGAATTTGCAGCTGCGGCCAGAAGACGAATATTTTCGTCACTGAGAAAATGATGAATTCGGAGGTTTACAAAACCGAATGTCTCCAGAAGCGAATTCTGCCCTTCATTTTGGCCGGATCTTGCGAGTTGTCACTACAGCCGGGAAGCACAACGGAGTCCTGTTTGTTCTGAAAACCCTCAATCCGCTCAATTGTTCCCAGTTCAGGCCCATTGAAAACTACTGGGCAATTATGAAGAAGGAAACTAAAGGTAAAAGGTACAGTCATCAAAAAGGCAGCTTGGATGTAAAATTGGTGGGATAAAATCGCCAAACCAGTAGACGAGACCGTTGTGCGGTTGTGCTTGATGGGTCGGTTTAAGGGAAAAGTTCGAGAATTCCTTCGAAGCCGCGGAGAATAATTCGTTTCGTATTTTTTTATTAGGATATATGGAATGGTATGCACTTGAGTGAAAACCGTTTTCAAATCCGTTAATTAAAATCCTAAACAGACCTAAATGGTGTTGCTCTATTACTAAGTGGGTCATGCTTTACACAAGTAGTTTGGAGATACAGTAATGATCCGGTTTTGCCAGCCCCTTTTTGAAAATCTTTTCTAATGTTTTACGAAACCCATGCACTTTTTCGGTGGTCTTATTGAACCAGAATACATATATCTTACACATCCATGTATGACAAAAAATTGGAATTACGGTTACGTGAAATTATTGAAAGAAAAAAAATGTGATGTGCGGATCGAGTCATTACTGAACATGGTAAGAAAAAAGTACCCAAAAGTAAATTCTTTTCACTCATCTCGGCATTAGAGTGCAGGAACCCAAAAGTAGGTATAGCGGGTCAAAGTAGTTTTCATTTACTTGTGTGCAATTCGTATGGAATTTTCCACAAGCTTTCTACCCAAAAATTAATTAATTCAGTGTCAACATTTCAAAGGGGCATAATTGCTTTTGTAAACAATGACTTTAGCCGTCAATTTTTCGCGAATGATATCTTACCTCTCCAATATTACAATGCTAGCTGGTAGAGGAAACATTCCTCTACCTGGTGGTGTCATTATTTTTCATTAGTGAGTTTTTATTTGCGAGAAATCGATGGCTAAAGCCATTGTTTACAAATGCAATTACGCCCCTTTGAAATGTTGGCACTGAATTGTTCCCAACAGTAGGTAAATATGACTATCCTCAACGTTGGGTTTCCACACTTTACTACCCGTGTTGGGTGGTTTTGCTCCTTCGTTTTCGACAACATTAGAAGTAGAAAAGGGGACAAACTAGTCAAAAGAAGGTAAAAGTGAACTGGTCATTGGGTACTTTTTTCTTACCGTGTAGTTGTGAACAGTTTTCGAAGCCAATTCATCAATGTTCCATTTCCCGTCTCCTCACTCACAAAAGTTCCAGAAAGTCGATTTTTGACAAACCAATTTTAGTAGTAAAATTCTTCTTTATTTTTGATTTTTTATGTGGTTTACAATTGCTAATACATGGCAAGAGGTTAGCCAGAAGGGCTCTTCATCTTTGGTGAACTTTTTGATTTTGTGTTGTACATGTTGTGTTTTACTGTGTAATGTTTTTCAATTTTCTTCTTGTGAAGTGTGTTGTTTGAATGTTTTAATTTGTTATTCAACCTACTTAATCTAACTTAACCTAACGTGCCAGATCCCTGACGATCTGTTGGTCAGATCGCCTACAGCAATCTCTGAACCTTGCGATGGAGGCAGCTATCCGTAACTCCAGTGTCTGAAGACCAGCCAGGCGGTGGACCTCAGAGTTTCTAGTCCGTGGACTGTTGAAAATCATTCTCAGGATCTTGTTCTGGATCCTTTGAAGTTTTTTTTTTCCTCTGTTCGGGACCTAACACTACTGCGACCAGTAAATTGATCTATTGTAGTATATCCCGTGTCCTTAGTTTAGTGCATGTCGTATTACTCCATCACTATTGAGAAATGATGAAGTATTCGATTTTTTTACAGTTGCCACTCTTGCATTTATCGCAAGGATCCGACTCTAATGGAAAGGTCCCGCTATTTATACCCTTCGGAGTGTTGAAACACCCTCCAAAGGCGCGCCCCTTTGTCAGTCAAAATTGGATTCCTTGGCAACAAAATTAAGGTATGACACCAATAATGACCATGCATCAGAACCCTTGTCTTAACCACTTCAAACTAGAGAACAATGATTAGAAGATTAGGAATCACATAGATGAAGACAACTAACTCATTTTTTCCTTGTTTCAAGATCATCCTCGGTAGACAAAGCCGAGTCTTGTCACTATCAACAAGGCATCCTTTGAAGTTTAAGATGGTGGCTTTTTGAGCAACTCTCCCAGATTGGCATCCCGTATTCTATTACGGGACGCATGATTAGTTTGTAGACAGCAAGCTTATTTTTCAGGGACAAGGAAGACCTCCTGTTGATGAGTGAATACAACGATCTTATCAAGATGTTGCACTTGGTTTTGGTTTTGTCAACGTGCTCCCTGAAAAGAAGCTTGCTGTCTAATGTTAGTCCGAGGTACACGACCTCTTTGGACCATTCCACCACTGAGCCGTTTAAGGAAATCTTATTATTTTCAGACGGAACAAGTCTGGGAAATTTTGAGTGTGGAATCGAGATCGCGTTGATACGGATCTTCCAGCTGTTGAAATATTCAGACAGGACGTCCAGGCCTCTCTGAAGTTTGGCAGTCAGAGCTCCGATGATCCTACCCTTGCAGACGATGGATGTGTCATCTGCGAACAGAGACAACGATCCACCATCAGGGAGAGCCGGCATATCGGAGGTGAACAGGTTGAATAGAATGGGGCCAAGGATGCTTCCTTGTGGAACTCCGGCACCGATGTTGAAAGCATCCGATGTGATGCTATTCAGAGAGACTCGGAACGTCCTGTCCGATAGATAGTTGTTTATTATCTTCACTAGGAAGATTGGAAGACCGTACTGCTGCAATTTGAACACCAGGCCATCATGCTAGACATTGTCGAACGCTTTTTCAACGTCCATCAACGCCATGGCAGATGTTTTCGAAACAGACTTGTTCCGTCTGAGAATGTTTGTCACTCGAGTCAGCTGGTCGAACGACCTTTCCGAAAACCAAACTGTTCCTCGAGTAACAAGTTGTTTTCATCGGCAGATGTTAGGAGCCGGTGGTACACTGCCCTTTCGAACAGTTTTGATAACCCTGAGAAAAGGCTGATTGGTCGATAACATGAAGGAGAGGACGGATCCTTCCCAGGTTTCCGGATGAGTATGACTTTAGCTGACTTCCAACACGAGGGGAAGTAGTCAAGTCTGAGACACTGATTAAAAATCAGTGCCAGATGGTTGTAGAATCTGGAACTCAAGTGTTTGAGTTCCAGATTCAGGATGTTGTCGAAACCTGGGGCCTTCATGTTTTTAGATGATTTGATATAGGCCAACAGTTCGTCAGCCGTAATCTCATATTCCTCTGGAAAAATGTTAGGAATCTGATGAAGATTGGTTGCATTTTCAGCAACCTCAGATTCATGAGGGCTGACGATGTTTTGTCCGAGATTATGGGAGCTGACGAAGTGTTGACCTATCGCGGCAGCCTTCTCTTCAGGAGTTATCAGATGAATCACTGGGTCACCGTGGGACGATCCAGTGGGGTCAGTGGAGGAATGGGCCTGGGCTTGTTTTTAAGAATTTTCGTTAGTTTCCAGAAGGGCTTTGCACAATCTGAGAGAGAGAGTGGATCTTGTTATCAAAATCTTGATTTCTGAGGTCCACCATCCTGGCTTGGATGGTTTTTGTAAGACCATTGCAATGGGTCTTCGGATGGAGTTACGGAGTCTGATGAGATCTTTGGTAATTCTATCAAGGTTCAGAGTATTGCTCACCTGTCTGGATACTGGCACGTGTTGGTCCCTGGCCCGGGATATCGTCTCCTCGATGGAACGCAGACACCGGTCAACGTCTTCGGGCGTCTCCGGAAGGACATCGTAGTCGACAGTGGAGTCGACACAGTGTTGGAACTGCTCCCAGCTGACACGATGATAGTTGGGAAGCTTGGAATCGGTTGACAGATTAGCCTAACCAAACCAACAAACCATTTTTTTAGGGATAACACTATGATCTTAAGCTTGGGTGATTTAGCGATTTTCAAAAAACTCAAACTTTGACGATTTTCCACCACTTCTACATCATGTCTGATTGAGCCCACATGTTACACAGGATCTTTTTTCGCAATAAACATTTTGCACATCATGGTCGGTTTTGGAAATTCGAGGGGCACTTTTTTCCCTTACATTCATTGGCACCAAGTTAAAAGCTGTTATTTCTCCTGTTTGACTGGGTTGGTCAGTAAATTGGACTATGTGGAGGTATGTAGAAAATTGCTTACAAACATCATCAGGTTGGGCAAACATTGTATAAATGACCACCAGGTTTGCAGCTCGTGTTGATTGAACCCATAAAACCATTAGACAAATTGTGGACATCATGCAACAAACGCTAATCGCTTATCTTGGGTAGGATAAGGATCATCAGTCTGGCCGCACCAGCAACTATATAGTCCCCATCTCGAACATCAACATTGATCGGGTTCTCTTTTTCTCCATCCCAAACCCCCTTCGAATGTGTGTCTGCTTACTTACTTGCTATGCTAATGTGCATGCATATTCTCTATCCACTTCCGCTGGGCGTGTGTTGGTGAGGTGAGAGACATGTAGCGATGTTGTGCTTTGATGATAATATCTTCCGCGTGAGCTTGCTCGATGTTGTGTTGTGTATCCCAACCAAACACACACCAGCTGACTCGCCAATCACACTCACACACCTACAGCAGCGACGTGCGACGAAAACGACGACGACGACGACGACGATACGGATACGACGAACGATAGCCCACGAAGAAGAACACAACACAATCAGTACATTGCATACAATCGGGCAGCTAGCACGCGTTTTTGTCTCGTTGCCTCCTTAATATCAATTTTATCAGTACTTTCTGTGTGTCTCTTCTCGAAATAAATATATACACAGGATATAGGATACGGGATACCTATATGTATAAATAGGATTGTGTGCCCGTGGAATCTATACATAGGCGAGAATTATACATACAACCGCGCCGTGCTCTGTGGTCAGTGTTTTTATCAGCTTTGAAGAACCGTGTGTACAATATCCTGTCGCTGGCATCTTAATTTTTTATTACGTTCATATTTTTTTTCTGTTGACCGTGTCCTGGCTCTTCCTGTTCTATCGCAGTGTGTTTTTAGCGATCGTTAACGTTTCTATTGCTCTTGTGTTTGGAGAACGAAGGTGCATGTGTGAGTCGTCGTCGCCATATTATGATTAATGGGCAGACGTAAATATAAAAATACAATAATAACACCGAAAGACGAAAATAAAAGGGAAAACACTTTTCCTGAAGAAAACTACGCAACCGAAGAAGAAAAAGAACAACTCTCGGCTCAGCTCAAGTCCACCAAGTTCGAGTCGAGTCTGGTTTTGGTTTCGTTGGTTACGACCGTCGTGTGTGCTGCTATGCGTGTGTTGTGTGCGCGAAGGTGTATGTGAAAAGGCAAACCGAAGAAGACGGAGAAGGAGGAAGAGAATAGTGTTCAGCAAAAATTGTGCAGCCGAAAATTAGTGCAAATCAATCGAAAGCAAAAGTGTACTTAACGATCGGAGCAGCAGCAGCAGCAGCAAGAGTGAAGGGGACCGATTCTGTTTGTGCTTACCTACGATAAATATAGCGATGTATACACACACGAACAGTTGATTGGATATTGGATAAATTGGATTTGGATTAAACTGCGAGCAGCAATAACAACAACAACAACAACAAAAGCAGTGCACGTTGTTTTCCTTTAAATCCATCATTGTTTATAGACTCGTGTGCAGCATTTTGTGTGATTGCAAAAGTTGCAACCGGCGGAAAAGTTGTGTGCAGTTACTGTAAATAAACGCACTTTGGATAACCACTGCTGGGCACAGCACGCGGCGTTACGGCTTACCAGGAGTGTCATGTGAGTATTGCCATTGTGTGGATGCTTTCCTGATAATGATTGAGTCATAACAATAGCATATGTTGCATTATATATGGTGGTTTTTGTTTATACTGGGATCGTTATATCAATCATATCGAGCGAACGGCCGGTAGACGCTGGTGACCGGCAGAGCGGTTGTTGGATGGATGACTCATGTGGAAATCTCGCTCGCTTCTCGGAAGTATGATTTTGTCCGCTTTTACTCATTTCGCTTGCTCATTTGCGACCGACGACGACGACGACGACCACGACGCTATCACACAAGAGTGTTCTCGTCTCGTTGTTGTTTTATGCGGTCGAGACAGGTTTATCATTCACGAACGTCAATCGCGTTAATTTGATTGTGATACTGTTATTTATAGCCATTTAAACTATCTCAGGAATTCAATTGAATCGGTCTAATCTTGTGTAAATTTGAAAGTTGGGAATGAAGCACGCTTGAATCTCATATTTCCATAAATAAGACATGTATTTTAATGATGATGAAGTAATAAATACAAATATAAAAACATGTATGAAATTCGTCTCAAACCTCAACATGTGCTAGTCTGCAAAGGAGGTTCTATTGAATTCCTGATATTTTAAATTATTGTGAGGGATGCAGGTGTTTAGAATATTTGACAGGGTAGATGAGATGGATGATGTAGAATTCGCCCCTTGATAGAACACTGACATTTTTGTAAACCTACATCAGACAAGATAGGATAATTTCTCAAATCCTTCGATATAGTTTCAATAGCATAATAGCGAAATATGAGCTTTATAACGAAGATTCACAATTTTACTCGTGGAGTAATGTTGTTTTTTTTTCTATTTGAAAGAACCATACCGAATGTGTAGCACCACTCTGTCATTTAAAATTAAAATGTCCGTTTGGCATAAAGGCCACTTGGCATAAACACGAAACAAGAACAGCTAGGGTTAACTACCCCATTTACGGCCTATTAAGCACAACCCGCACTTAGTCTTTCTTAATCTAGCACAGTTTAGCACCAAACGGAATGTTCTTATTACTGATGGCATCCAAATTTATTTACCTTTCCGTATGTACCGTAAGATTTGATAAAGAGAAACCAATCGTTGAGATATTGTCAAAAGTCTAACACTGCTTCTTGACGCCAAACTCGGCCTACGGATTCTAAACTCGGCCTAACGCATTGAAACGCCATTGAAACGGCAATGAATTCACTTCGGCCTATCGGATGAAGATAAAAATTGGTTCAGTCGGAACACTTCTTTTGTTTTTGGGAATAATGGGTGCAAACCTTCATATCACGTGTTCTCAATGACTTCGTTCCGTAGCTTATTAACTAAAGTATCGTACCAAACTTATAATTGACTTGTTAACTTCTGAAATCATGGATTTATTTGAAGTTTTCTGTTCGATAGGCCCAAAATGGGCGATTAGGCCGAAGTAGTTCTCTACCCTACTCAAAAATATTCAAAAGAAGGGTGAACATCAATTAAATTATTATTCTCCCTTCTTTTTTATCATGAGCTATTCTTTCATATGTGCAGTTCGACGCGAAATCTTCCTGTGCCTGTAACTTCAAACCGGTTGGTTGAATCTTCATGAATCCTGATGAATGTGGGCGTCTTAGTGGAATACCTGTATAAAGAGAAAGAGAACGATTAGTAATTTCCATTTAATTCCACTACCTTATTTGCTACGGTTTTCCGAGTGAAGTAGTTCTAGTATATCCTGTTACGAACAGGGTGTCGACTACCTGTAAAAACCTGGAAAGTCCGGGAATGTCAGGAATTCTATTTATGATCTGGAAAGTCAGGGAAGGTCAGGGAATTTTAGTGTAGGTTAGAAAAAAAATAATGTTGATCACATTGCAAAAAATCATGTGCGGGACACATAAAACCAATCTTTGAAATTTTATCAGTGCATGACGTGAAAGTTTTTGGGAAGATCCCGGGCATCAGATCTACTCGCTGCGTTTATGGACGCCCTTGCCGGTATCTCTTCGAACAAGTTGCTGCAAGTGTCCATGGATGGGCCCAATGTGAATTGAAGCTAGAGGTACAAAAAGGTGGCCAGAAGCTGATAGATCTGCGAAGCTGTGGGCTGTATATTTTGCATAATGCATTCAAGGATAGTGTTCGCAGTATCAGTTGGGATGTTGTCAAATATTTGCGTGGTATCTACAATATCTTCAAAGATGTACCAGCAAGACGAGCGTTTATCACGATGTATTCTGGATCTACCATATTCCCGTTAAAGTTTTGCGGTCACCGAGGGTTGGAAAATACTTCTGCTGTTCAGAGGGCAATCAAAATTACTCCGCAAATACGAAAATTTATTCAAGGTGTCCAGAAAGACAAAATCGAACCAACGTCAGCTTCCTACCAAGATGTTAAAAACGGTTTGAATGACTCACTGCTGATGGCTGATAGTACGTTCAGACTACAGATTTATAACATGTTATAGCACTATCCTGATGGTGGTTTCTGTGTTGCAATTATTTGACAACCGTTATAACATGTTATAACTCTGTAGTCTGAACGTAGTATTGAGCTAGCTTTCTTCAAATCAGTTGTTGGCGAAGTTGAGCCATTTCAATGCGAATTTCAGACGGACAACCCTATGTGGCCTTTTTTGTGCAACGCGATGTCTCAAATGGTTAGAGGCATTATGGAAACGTTCATTAATATTGATCATCTGAACAATATTGCACAGGTAAATGCACATTAGATCAATATGATCGCAAAAAGGAACGACTGGAGGTTTTTTGGCAAAGGTTATTGGTCGGCGTATTCAGAACTATTGTTGGTTGTGAAAATGTTTTGCTGCTTATCGCATGGCAACGCCAATGCAGAGAGAGGTTTTTCGGTAAATGCAGAATATCTTTTTGAAAACATGAGGGAAGAGTCAAGGCCCAAGCGCAATGACAGCGGAACGGCAGTGGTAGCGGAAAAGCCCGATCTGAGTAAGCCTACTTGTCGGATTGAAAACTAGATAGAATCAAATCGACTGCGGTTAGGCATCTTGATGTCATTTGTGACAATTATCAAACTTGCCGTTTCCGTTCCGCTTCCGCCCACATTGCGTTTGGGCCTTCAGTCGTAGCGCGACGTCAGATTTATGATGGTGTTACTCATGCAGGCGAGTTGGAAAACTTACAAATTTTGAATGAACTTATTCAGCGAGTTCGAAAAATTGCATTCGCTTTCCATGTAGACAAGGATCGTCGTATGAAAGAAGCTCTTGATTCCGAGAGCTCAAGATGCTCAAATAGAAGCCGAGAGAAAATTGTTCTGCTCAAATGATAAACATTTTTAAAAGTAATCCGAAAATAAACACATATTCAACTTGCAATTTATCGATGTAATGTGAACTCACTGAGAGAATAAAATGTTATTGATAATTAAAGTTAAATTATTTTGCCATGTCTGCGGTTGTGATATGGAGTTCCAGAGAGTACGAAACTGACTAATGCATGAGCAGTGCATCCTCAGGTTCGGTTGCCAAAGCAAGAATAATCACTGCTCTGTTATTTTATAATAATTTATATGTTAAGAGAAAGTATCGTCTAAGGGTTGATTTTTATTTGGCTGTGAAATTATGAACACAAGTTGAGAGCTTGGTGACATTGATTAAATATTCCTATTATTACTTAGTAATGAATAGTGAGCCTAGTTGTGAGCAGCAGTTATTCATTATTATATTATATTATGTAGTTATAGCCCTAGGCCTATTCACATCCTTCGTATGTAGTCGGTCCTATGTCCTGTAAAAAATGTTGTAGTATCAAGGTCTGTTGTACGTTGTACGTGCCATGAGTATGCTATTCTTGATATTTTCGAAAGCTTACCCTGCTGCTCATTTTAAACTAACCTTAATTTGCACTACGGTATAATAAAGCACATCATGTTGTAGCTTCTTAGGTTAAAATAACGAAGTTTTGTGGCCTGATTTTTTTCTGAAAATCGACTGGAAAGTTAGGGAAAGTCAGGGAATTTATTTTTCGACTATGAGCTACTTGAAGAAATAGAAGCAGATTCATGCCAATAAAAAAATGTCCGATCCCAAACACCTTGCGTGTCCGATCAAGCTCATCATCGACCATCATCATCACAATCATCATGAGAAGGTTGGTCGAGAGATAAACTAAAAAATAATTTCTGCAGTTTGTGCTAACCTGGTACACAAGATTAGTCAGGACATCGTAGAATACCTTGGTTAGTCTGTAAAACATAAAGATCTGAATCCATATCTCTCACGTCATAAGTCATAACCATGAGTTCAAATCATAACCATGAGTTCTAATCTCACCCGGATAAGGCACGAATGATGCAAAAGTGCTAGGGTGACTATAATCGATTAAATAATGATCTGAACTCCAGGCATTTTGGAAAATTTAATAAACCCAGCTAATTATATTACGCGCCTTCACGAAGGTTTACCCATTCTATCATTAAGTCGAATCTATGGATAACTTTATCGAATATGTAGAACTTCTGGATCATTTGTATAATCAAACAACGATATTTTTAAACACAATTCATAATTTTAAGTGATGTTATGAATCTCCGTGAAGTACAAAATGCTCAAAAATTCTGAGTGAACATCGAACAAGATTTCGGTTAACCTGTTAAATATCTCCAGGACAATTAGGAAAATGATGCAAATTTTGGTAACACATTTTTGTATTCCACAAAATGTTGTTCGGTTTGTAGAACTTCAAGATCGAAACTCAACTCATTTTTTATAGTGAAACCCATCTTTTGTCTGTAACTTTTTTAATTCAAATTTTTCACGAAAGTCACCTTTAGGAGGTTTTTGAAACTTCTTAAGACGCATGTTATTTTTTCTAAAGTTGTCTGTATCTCTTTGTATGAAGAAGTTATTCCCAATTATATTTTTAAAAAATTAAGTCAAATTCGTTTCATATGCGTTTGAAACATATCATATCTCTATTTTTTTTCGAATCATATGATTCAAGTTGTGTCCTTTCAAATGCTGGCTTGAA